GTGGGGGAGCGCCCGCGAGTGTGTGTGTCGGGGGCGGGTTTTTTTTCGATGTGTGTGTGTGGGGGGGAGCGCTCGCGGGTGTGTGTTGGGGGTGGAGCGTTTTTTTTTGTGTGTGTCGCGGGGGGGAGCGCCCGCGGGTGTGTGTGTTTGTGTGTGTGTGTTTTTTTTCCCACAGGTGTGTGGGGCGCCCGCGGGTGGGAGGGAACGCCCACGAGTGTGTTTTTTTTTTCGCCCGCAGGTGTGTGTGTGTGGGGGAATGCCCACAGGTGTGTGGGGCGCCCGTTTTTTTTTTGTGTGGGACGCCCGCAAGTGTGTGTTGGGGGGGGATGCCCACAGGTGTGTGTTTTTTTTGCGGGTGGGAGGGAACGCCCGCGAGTGTGTTGTGTGGGACGCCCGCAGGTGTGTTTTTTTTGGGGGGAATGCCCACAGGTGTGTGGGGCGCCCGCGGGTGGGAGGGAACGCCCGTTTTTTTTTGTGTGGGGGGGAATGCCCACAGGTGTGTGGGGCGCCCGCGGGTGTGTTGTGTTTTTTTTTCGCAGGTGTGTGTGTGTGGGGGGGAATGCCCACAGGGGTGTGGGGCGCCCGCGTTTTTTTTTGTTGGGGGAGAGCCTGTAGGTATGTGTGTGGGGGGGAGCGCCCGCAGGTGTCTTTTTTTTCCCCGAGGGGTGGGCGGACGCCAGCGGTGCAGAGGAGCAGGGGCCGCTGTGCCTTTTTTTTAGAGATGCAGCGGTTTTTATGGGCACTGTCTCTTAATGCCTAGGACAGCCCAGTTTTTTTTGCCATTGTTAACCCCTCTTTTAGAGTTAAGGAAACTGAGACAGAAGGGATGTGTTTTTTTTACGATCTGAAGGGAGGTTTATTAGGTCCGAGCGGGTTTGGAACCCAAGAACCTTTTTTTTTAGCCCAGCCGTTTTGCTTAATTGAAGAGGGAGGAAAGGGTCTGTGATGGTCAATTTTTTTTTTGTCTCAAACCTGCAAGATGCTTGAAAGAAGAAACTATCTTCATTTTCTCAGTTTTTTTTGATTTGACACAGGTGCAGAGAGAAAGAGATCCTCCTGCGCTAACTGGACAGGATTTTTTTTAAAATGGGAAGGAGTTCAGAAGGAAATGCTCACGGGCATGGTGGGTGGGATCATGACAATATAGGAAGCTGTAACCAGTAAAATGGGGAGAGAAGTGGGTGACCAGGGAACACCTTTTTTTTTCCACGAGTGAAGTTGTCAGTGAACTGAAGACCCTGTTGCTGCTCCAGGGCTGCTCCCCAGATCAGAAGCTTAGCATTACTTGGGGGTTGCATGGAAGTACAGATCCTGGCCCCTTTTTTTTTGCTGAGTCACAATACGCATTTTAACAAGACGCCCCCTCCCCCCCCCCCCTGGTTTTTTTTGCATATTTGAAAGTTTGGGAAGCACCTAGTCATACTGTGCAGAAAAATGATTATTTTTTTTAAGATGTCATTGTTAGCCCAGGATAGTGTGTAGACCATTCATGTAATCTTATGTTTTTTTTATGATCCAGTTGGGAAAGTAGGAAGAATCCAGCTTGTAGAAGACATTACATCTTTTTTTTTGGTGTTTGGGTTTAACATGCAGTTTCTTTTTACTTTGGTGGAGAAGGAAAACTGGTGTACCAAGCTTTGTGTGTGGTAAAATGTAACAAAATTTGTCCTCTTAACCTTTTTTACTTTTTTTTGAGTGGTATTACGTACACTGATAATGTTGAGGGACTATCACCACCACCCATCTTTTTTTTTCTTTTCATCTTGTGAAACTGAAACTTTAGAACTTCCCTTTCTCCACTCCCCTTAGCCCTTGGCAGCCATTGTCCTGCTTCCTGTCTTTATGAATTTGACATCTCTAGGTACTGCTTTTTTTTGGATTCATACATATTTGTCTTTTTGTGACTGGTTTATTTATTCTCAAGGTTCGTTCATGTCATAGCATAATGCAGAATTTCCTTTTTTCTTCAAGCCAAATAATATTCCTTTGTTTTTTTTTACCACATTTCATTTATCCTTTTATCTGTCAATGGATGTTTGGGTTACTTCCATTTTTTTTTTATTGTGAATAATGCTGGTATCAACGTGGTGTGTACAAATCTCTTTTTGAGACTTTTTTTTCAATTCTTTTGGATATGTTGAGGGGGTGGGGTGGCAAGAATTCCTGTCTCTTCTTTTTTTTTCTAGCTGGACTAAGAATCAAATTGACACAAGATAGATTAACAGGAGAAAATATTTTTTTTTAGGCATACATTCAAGGAAACCACATAGACATGGAAAGCCTGGTAAAATGAGGTTTTTTTTTCATTCTGAATGAAGGGAAAAGAGCTTGGGGTCTGGGACTTCAGAGGAAAGGAATGCACTTCACAGGGCAGCAAAAAGAGCAGATGTTTGGTGATTAGATGTTTGTCCTACCATACAGATGGGTGGCTCAGATAAAATTTATCTGTTAATAACTCTTATTCTGGAAAAGACCCCCCAGTTTAGGTTGTTCTATGTTGTTAAAGGAGGACAAAAGTTTCTCTTGAGCCTGTAGGGTCTTTTTTTTCTTTAGCACAAAATAATCCATATGCCAAAGTGGCACATTCTGAGAGAGGTCTGTTTTTTTTCCTACAGATACGTACCAAGAAGTGGAATTGCTGTATCATATGGTAATTCTGTTTTTTTTTTGTTGAGGAACCCCCCCAATACTGTTTTCCACAGTGGCTGTACCATTTTACATTCCCACCAACTGCACGAGGGTTCCAGATTTTCTACATCCTCACCAATTTTGTTTTTTTTCTTTTTTTTTTGCCATTCTAATAGGTGTGAGGTCAGTTCCCTAATCAGTGATATTGAACATCTTTTTATGTATTTATTGGCCATCTTTTTTTTTCCCCAAGATTTTATCTTTTTGTTAGGGGGTAGAGAGAGAGAGCACAGCAGGGGGAGTGGCAGGCTGAGCAGGCAGAGGGAGAAGCAGACTCCCAGGCGAGCAAGGAGCCCAATGTGGGACTTGATCCCGGGACGCTGGGATCATGACCTGAGCCGAAGGCAGATACTTAACCAACTGAGCCACCCAGGCATCCCTATTGGCCATCGTTTTGTGCTTTTTTTTGCCTATCTGTGGTAATGCTATTGAATAGAAATGCCTGGAACTAGTGAGCTTCCTTTTTTTTTTTCCCCTTTCCAAACCTACGTTATGATTGGACCGAACCTTGTGGTTCTTATGTTTTTTTTATGCCCTTCAACAAAAACCTTTAGAAAACTGAAGAAAAAGTAGTTGATTATTTAAAAGCCCTGGAGTGTACAAGGCATGCCATGGGGGCCACACAACCAGGTAATTGGTGCAGAGAGGGAGACAGAATGAGACAACAGGACTGGGGTTCTGCTTTTACTGGCGTTGAGGGTGGGGTTTTTTTTTTTCAAGGGCAGGGTCTTTATTGGTTAACTCAAAACATAAGAGTAGGAATATATTTTTTTTAGAGAAAAAACAAGTGGCCCAAATGGTCAGTTAGTGAAATTAACTAAGATCTCTTTTTTTTAGGATTCTCAGTGTGGGAAGGCTGCCTGGCTCTTTAGTCCTGTGTCTGGCTTTTTTTTTTTTGGAAATAGCTTTCTTCAGAGAGGGTGAAGCAGATGCCTCTGCATTCAAAGCTTAAGTCAGGCACTTGCTTTAGGATAAGAAAAGCCAATTGTCAGATCTTACACTGTAGTCAGTTTTTTTTGGAGAAATGTCTGTTCAGGTCCTTTGCCCATTTTTGAACAGGTTGTTTGGCTTTTTTTTTTTTAGGAATACTTACATATTTGGAGATTAAACCTTTATCATACATGATTAGCAATTTTTTTTTTTCATTCTGTGGGTTGCCTTTTTACTCTCTTGATAGTGTCTTATGTACAGTTTTTTTTTTTGTTCATGAAGTCCAGTTTGTCTATTTTTTTTTTTTTTTTTTTTTTTTACCTGTTTTTTTTCTGCTGTATCCAAGAAATCATTGCCCTGGCCAATGTTTGAAGCTTTTGGCCAGTTTTTTTTTCCAAGAGTTTTGTTTTAGGTCTTAAATTTAGGTGTTTGATCCAATTT